AACTGGAAAGAGAAAGTTAGGAGTAGGATGTGGGAATTATTTTTGAACTTTTGACTTTAAGTAAAAAAGATAAATTTAAAAAATATTGAAAATAAATTATTACAGTTAAATTCAATAAATATTTTAATAATTACGTGGTTGGACGATGATAGCTTCGAGGAACGAGACAGACCTTTGCGTTGCCAATTCTCCAACAAACTTTATAGGATTAGATAATATATTTTGCTGGGTTTGCTTAGCTACTTCAATTTATTGATCAAATTAAATTCAAATCGAAGAGATCTACATTAAGTCCATTATAGTTGACCAGACTGTACTTATCGAGTAGAACAACATTATAAAATTTTATGCTAGATTATTATGGTGACATATTTTGAAGGTAAATAATTGAAAGCATTAAACCCATATAGTATTATGTGCTTTTAAATGAAAACTGATAACATTCTTCTCTAGCATGGTTAAAAAGTATATTGTTAACAATTAGATAAAATAATTTATATATTTGATCCATAATTATAATCTTATAACAAAACTAGTAATACATTTTTTAACATTATTAATTTTGTTCAGTCCCAACCATTGTTAAAAAAATATAAAAATTTATAGATTGATCGTGCATAAGGATTGAATTCGTTTTTTATTATTTTCAACGTCGATCCAAACAAAAGGGTATCAGAATCCATAATTTTTTTAATATGAGATAATATATATTACCTTTATATTAAACAAAAAAAATTTAAACATTTGATATAATTAAAAATATAGATAATCTCGGGTTAAATTCTAATCTTAAATTAGTCAAAACCGCGTTCAAGGCTCCAAGAACCGATCACATACTATGATAGCTAGTAAATGTATGGACAAAACGGTAAATCCAACGGTTAAATTAATGCCACGTGGATACCTCATTTTCGAAGAAAAAGCCAGAAAGAGATTTTCCCGTTGATAAAAAAATAAATCGTCAAAGGTGGCAAATATCGGCCTGTCCGGACCTAGAATATTCCTCTGCTGCTTGCTTGCCCCGCCAACTTTTTCCTATTCATGTTGACTTTTTGACTAAAATAAATACTACCAATTAAAAATTACATAAACTGGCGCCATCTCTTTCGTTTTAAGATGAATATTGTAAAACGAGGTTTGAGTTTATAATATTAATAAAAAAATTAAATGTCATTGTTTTGAGTTTTGGTATATTATGTAAAAATTAATTTAATTTCAAACATCAAAGTCATTATTTATTTTACAAAATTTTTAAAATATTTTTTATTATATAATTATATTATCATTAAAATCAAATAAATCTACATACTATTTTTTAAGGAAAAATATGCATACCATTTAAAGTACTTAAGTATATACAACTAATGGCATCAATAAATTTTAAAAATTAATCTTATTTATTTTTGTATATTATATTTTATATTTTTAATTATATAATTTTTATATATTATATTTTTTTAATATAAAATTTAACATAACAGTAAAATTATAGCTGTATTATAAAAATTTTTTATAGTAATTTGCTATCAATAATTTCTACATAAATAAAAATACGAGAAATTATACACGGACTCATTAATATATATAAAAAATCTCATATTTCATATTGCTAAAATATTACATATTTTGAAATGATAAAATATTACACTTTTTGCTAAATAAAACACCATATATATATTCAATTTGATTATCTCTTATATATTAATATTAATATTATTTTGTAAATATTATACTAACATAAAAATAAATATATAACTATTGATCTCATTTTTTATATTAATTTATTTAATTCAAAATTAATTAAATAAGATTTGCACAATAATAATTTTTATATAGTGTATTAAAATTTTTTTATTTTGACATAATTAACCAATTTGATTGATTTCTAAGCAAAACTTAAACTCAAATCAAATTTTAATAAATGAGATATATCCAAGTCGAATAGAAATTTAAATATTAAATCAATAATTGAGAAAACTCTATGATAGTGTGGTGACGATTTCTATCCATTTTGAGACATCAATATTTTGTTATATACGAGTTTGGGCCCCATTATTAATATATTCTTATTTATTTAACTTAAAATAATTGTCAAAAAATTAAATAATACTTATTTGGTGATCTAACATTTTATTTGATTAATTAACTTCAAAAAATCATTAAATATAATTAGACAACTAAAATATTTTCTTGTACTTCACTAAATATTATAATTCACACCAAACATAAAAGAACTCATCTCTCTCTACAAAAAAAAAAGCCAATAATTCCTTTTTCCATCTGTCATGCAAAGGAAAATTATATTGAAATTGAAATAATTTGGTTTATTACAACTAAGTATTTTTAAGAATTAATAGCATATAAATCAGAAAAATGTAATTAGTTAATTAAAGTTATAAATGTTAATAATTTTTAAATTATAAAAGAAGAAGAACAAGATTAAATAAATAATTATTCAATTAAAAAAAAAATATAATGCAGTCAGTCAAGGTACAGCTTCACCAACAAAGCAGTTTACCAAAACAGACGTTTTTGTGTCTTACGATATGAGGACTCACGATGGTATCGTGAGGGCCCCCACATATTAATACTCTATCGTCTTTTTCATTTTTTCACCTCAATTTCATAAACGTTTACTTGAAACCGGACCCACCGGTGACAGTAGAAGCTTCAGCTGCAAGCAAGCAAACTGATGAAGGAGCAGAGACCGGAAGAGAACCAAAATTTAAAAAAGAAAAAATTCTTTTGGGATTCCTAATTTTTCAGTATCTATTTGGCTTTACATTTTTGTCACTAGAAACGAAGACGAACCTTCTCTTTAGCGCCAATCGTAGGCTGCTAGCTGCTGCACGTACCCAGAGCCTCTTCGTTCCACTTCATCTTCTCCAAGAAATCGCTTTATTCTCCATTTTTTTTTTCAGTTAAAGCTAGGGTCTCTGGTTATCCAAACAGCCGGAGACAGCTGCATAAGGAAGATCGCTTTAGTTTATGGGAGGTTTTGACTGTTAACTCAAGGGTTTCTTTCGGTTCCAGAGCTTGTTAAGAGGGATCGAATTCGATAATTGAATGTAGTTGATTTTGTGATTTTGATGTTTGAGGTTCTCGATAAATTTGACAATGGCTGTGGTGAGTCCTGTGCCTGCTATTGCCCAGGGGGTCGATTCGATGAGGTTTCTTGGGGCTAGAACCCCTAGAATCATGGCGAGCAGGAGAGAACTTGTGGCAGAGTCGGTGGCGGAGATAATTGAGGAGAGGATATTTGTTGCAGTTGGTAAAAATGTGGAGAAGAGCGAGTCCACTCTGTTATGGGCATTGAGAAACTCGGGAGGGAAGAGGATCTGCATCGTTCATGTTCATCGGCCGGCGCAAAGGATCCCACTCACTAACCGTATGACTTTTGTGTGTTTAGATTACCTAGTTAGAAATAGCGAAGAACACCTCAAATTTTTCGATATAGTTAAATTGAATATAATTTTTCTGTTTACTTGACGTTATTGTTATCATTTCATATCTTATCACGGATTATGAAGTAGGATTGAGAAGGCAACAATTAAGAGTAAATATTGTTGAATTTATAAAAAATATGCTCTCGAGCTTGATTATGATATTTTTAGGGTTTTCAATACAGATTAATCTCAACCAGATGAAAAAAAAGAAAGTGTATAGAACGTTTATGAGATATCTTTTATTCTAATTATTGTTAAATTTGAACATTTAGGAATTATTAATTTTGAGGGTTTTCAAGAGATTAATCTCAACCTGTGAAATAAAAGAAGCGCTTAACATTTTTGTGGTATTTTGTATGCGTTTTGTGTTTACTTTTATTTTAACTATCAATAATTTAGAAATCATCCTCTGTATTTGCAGTGGGCACAAAGTTTCCAGCGAGTTCACTGAAAGAGCAGGTAGTCAGAGCATACCGGGAAATTGAAAGGCAAAACATGGACGAGATACTGGAAGAATACCTTCGCATCTGCCGTCAAGTGGGGGTATTATCATCTTTTCTGTTTCACATCTAGGAAAAAGAGTGTTTGACTTGGCATAAGATAGGGGTTCTTCACTACCTTGATAACTAAGCTGTATGTTTGACTGAGTTTCTCCTTCAGTTTTTACTGTTAGAAAGCAGATCGTTTGGCAAGATAGCACAAGATAGAAATTATTTTAAAGTAAAAATAGAATCTGTTTTTGACTTACTGGTAAGGTCGAAGTTAGAAATAGGCATACGAGTATATTTACTAATTATATGTTTTATTAATTTATTAATAAATTGTTTTTTAAAAATGTAATAGTTATTTCTTATTAATAATTTAATATTTATTGTAAATTATATTTTTTATTTTAAATATCATTATAATTTGAAATTAATAATTATATTAAACAAAATAAATATAACAATTAAAATATTTTTTTTAAAAAATAAGTAATACTATTAAATGATTGTTTTAATTATCACTTTGATCTAATAGTCATTTGCTGCAGTTTGGAATGCCTATATTCTTGTTTCTGTATGATATAAATAGATAAATATTAATGTTTTATGGTTTTAGAGTGTTGAGGTTACTGAATTGGCAGAACTGCTAAATTCTGATTTATCCAAATAAATAACGAACCATTGTAGGTTCGGGCAGAGAAACTGTATACTGAACTGGATTCTGTTGAGAATGGAATTTTGGAACTGATCTCTCAGCATGGGATAAAGAAGCTTGTCATGGGAGCAGCAGCAGACAAGCAATACTCGAGGTAGGAGCCTTAAAGTAATTATATTAACTCTTGTTTCTCTGAATATTGACTGTAGATCAACAGATGAAGCAGTTCTATGCTGCACGTCATATGCAATACATGTCTATTGCTTACCCTAGTGCTTTAATGTTGCAGAAAAATGACGTACCTCAAGTCCAAGAAAGCCATTTCTGTACTCAAAGAGGCACCTGCTTCTTGTCACATATGGTTCATTTGCAAGGGACATCTCATCTACACTAGGTATGCATATATTTGCCCATCATATCTTTCAGATTGTGTCTGTAAACCATATTGCTAAAGTAAATGGAGTCACCTGAAGATGTGTATAATCTACATGAGATCTTCTATGTTTTATGGACCACCTTTTACTAGATGCTCGCATATTGGTATTTTGGATAAATTGGACACTTCTGTTAACTAAAACCTTGTCAATAGCTGATTTAATCAGCTTGAAACTAACACAAATACCATATCAAAATATAGGCAAAGTAATTTATATGGAACGGATTTGGAGGTTGCACCTTCATCTCTACCTGCATATCCAAATACAGAATTTTCAAATCACTTGAGATCGCAGTCTGTCAAACTTCAGCAGAATCATCGAGTAAAACTCTCCAATCAAGCTCAAGATTTATTATTTCGGATAAGGTCCATAGTTCTAGATAGACATGGAGGAAGGTATGCAACTCTTACTTCCCCAGGTGCTGGAGGGCTGTCAACTCCAAGGAGCAGGTCAGATGCAGAAGGGAGTTCTGACAAAGGTGATCATTTCAGAAGGAGCCTTTCTGGAGGTTTTGGTCGTTTATTGTGCTCTTCCAGTGGAATGGCTCTGAATCTGATTGAGAGGTCTGAGGAGATTGGCAATACATTAGAAGGGAGCGGATTCCATCTGTCCAAAGAGGATATTTATCGCTTATCTCCACCCAGTGTACTGGTACATGCGCAACAACATGATTTCTGGAAGATACTTTGTCTCTATGTAGCCGTTTAATGTCTAGAAGTGCAAGTATGAGTGTTTTAACTTTGGTTTAATCTTCCATATTCTAACAGGATGGAAGCATAGATGATAATCTTTATGATCAACTTCGACAAACTATGGTACAGGCTGAAAGTTCAAGACGTGAAGCGTTTGAAGAGGCAGTTAGGCGTGGGAAAGCAGAAAAGGATGCTATTGAGGCTATTCACAGGGTAAAATTTTTAGTCAGACTGTCTTACTTCAGAACTCATTTACCAAAAGTTATGTAACTTATTTCCTGTAGGAAGGTGATTTTTTTCAATGAAAGACATTTTTTTTTTGCACATTCTGCATTGATTTCTTGTCTGTTACCATTGGACCTTAAATCTGAGATTTTCCTTTAAGAGGTCCATTTTCTGTTCTGAGGAATAGTAGTCTGCAAGGACCATTAAGTGTAACTTATAAAATCTTATTATCTTACACGTTGTTCGCTACTAATTTGCAGGCTAAGGCATCAGAGAACTTGTATTCTGAGGAGTTAAAACAGAGGAAAGAAATTGAGGTGGCATTAGCAAAAGAAAAAGAGGAACTTGAGAAGGTGAAGAATCACCTAGACAAAATTACGGAAGAACTTCGAATTGCCTTGGAGCAGAAATTGAATTTCGAGAGCCAATTGGCAGAATCTGATCAGATGGTAAAGGAGTTGGAAGGGAAGATTATCTCGGCTGTAGAACTGTTGCAAAGCTACAAGAAAGAACAGGATGAGTTGCAGGTGGAGCGTGACAATGCACTCAGAGAAGCTGAGGAGCTGGGGGAAAGTCAACAAGAGGTCTCATGCATGCACTTGCCTCAATTCTTCACTGAGTTCTCTTTCTCAGAGATTGAGGATGCAACTCAAAACTTTGATCCATCTCTGAAGATAGGAGAAGGCGGATATGGGAGCATTTATAAAGGTCTCCTGCGTCATACCCTTGTGGCCATAAAGTTGCTTCACGCCCACAGCTTGCAAGGCCCCTCTGAATTTCAACAAGAGGTAGGGTCCTATGAATGTTAAATATGGTTTTAAACTTCACCTGAAAGCTGAAGTTTGTTTTTTTGTTTCAAATGCAAGATACAAATGCTGCCAATGAATGTTGGTATTTCTCAATGCAATGCCTGTAATTACTCTATTAGTTGCTGTCTGAGGTCTATTCAAAGATTGATTATTGGTGCTTCAGTTCTTCATTTTCTGGATT